CCCACACTCTAGCGAGACATTCTAGGCCCTGGGCATAAAATAAATCCAGCTCAGAGGAGGTAGGTGCTGGGGCTGGGGGCTGGAATTAGCTCAGTCATGTCTGAAACCCTTTGAGGACAGTCCCTAGGTACCTGAGGCCTGCCGTGTGAACAAGCTGTGAACCTTGGGCCAAGTGACCCCAGAATACTGGTCCCGGGTCTTATGTCTGGAAGCCACAAAGGGAGAATCCATGTCCTTTCAGATTAAGAGCTTAAAATACCAACACAGCTGTATGTCATTCCCAGTTCTTGAGTCTCTAACGCTTTCCTCTGACATCTTCAGAACAAATCCAGGGCTATCTTGGAGAGGTCCTCAGGCCTTGCCACACAAAGCTTCCCAAGGTTCTGGGCTCTGGAGTGGGGCTGCAGAGGTCCCCCGGGCACTGTTCCAAAGGCCATCTGGTGTGCACTCTTCTCTCCCACAATCTGAGCCACTGTGATAGATCCACCAAAGAACTTTCCAGATGCAGAAAACTGAGCCTTCCTTTTCGGGAGATTCTTCTGAGGAGCTTCCAAAAGCTAGAAAATGCTCTGTGCAGACCGTGGCATGAGTCAGGCATGGGGTTACTCTTACTTTCTTGCCCTTTAGGCCGCTGCTGCCCAATGCTTTAAAGCTGTCTAGCTGACACAGAAGAAGTTAAAAAGAAAAATATAAGCTCGATCCAGGTTTCCCATCCTGGCTGGTATAACCCTGGGGCCTTGCCTGCCTCTCCAACCCCTGCTCTCCTCAGCTTCGCAGGCTGTTAAGTCCTATGAACTCTCAGGCTCACTGTCACCGCCTCATCCTTGCTCTTTGGTTGGTTGCTTGCTTACTGAAGTCAGGCTCCCCAAGTTCAGGACTGTCTAGCTCAGTCCCCAGAGAGTGAACAGTGCTGGACATGTAGCAGTTTGAATCATTCACGGGAAACAAATTGAGTTGGTGGATGGATGGATGGATGGATGGATGGATGGATGGATGGATGTGAAGTGAGGGAACTAGCCAGGGTTGTTTAGAAGTGCACAAACTATCAAGAAGTGGCTAGTGAGACACGTGAGTTCCCATAGGATGGAGAGGGACCTTGGGATCTAAAACAATGGCCTGTGTTTTAACGGAGACATAGAGCGGCTTTGGAACCCTCAGTTCCTCGGAACCTCTGATCCTGCCTGCTGGCTGCCTCTGTCTGGTGCATTCCTGGCCCATCACCCTCACATGCTGCAGTGGCCCCTGGCTCACTATACCTTCTTTGGCTGGGTCTCAAGTCACGAAGCAAAACAGCAGAGTCAGCGTGTCTTCTCCCTGCCAGATGTCATTCCCACCCCTTGGTGGCTGGCTGGGGTCAGGTTGGGAGCAAAGTGACCCATGGGGATAGGGGACAAGGCTTCCCTGGTGTCAGAACTCCAGTAGTGAAAGTAGGAGTGTTAGAACCTACCAGAAGTTTTCTATGTCCCAGTCACAAAGAAGGCAAAGCAGACTGGGTAGAGGTCAGTACTAGACCACGGTTAGATGACAGCTGTCAGTCAACCTTAGAACGAAGCCGGTTGTGAGGCTGTGCTCCAGGTGTCTCCAGGCCCTGGGATGTCCAGCGTTTGTACACACTCTCCAGCACACGTGAAAGATGCAGATACAGACGGCTTTCCCAGCCCTGTCTCTCAGTGCCGACACTGTACCAGACCCCTGCCCAGGTTTTAAAGTCTCCAGACGGTTCCCATTGGCTTCCAGAGTTCGGAACCATGAGGTGTTTTAGGGAATCTGGCACAGGTGAAAGCATGGGGCATGGGGGAAAGGAAGGATTCTGGGCAGGACTCCTACTTGGAGTCAAGAAGTTCCTGAAGGGTCACACAGCACACTGATGTGCAAACTCTCTTGGTACAAAAGAAGAAGGAAGGAAGAGAGGGAAAGGAGGCCAGCCATGTATTTTAAAATGCCAGAAGCAGATAACTGGGAGGAAATGTTGTAACAAAAGGTTATAGACTCGCTATTTTCAGAGCGCTCTTGCAAATTCATAAGATGTGCGCTAGGTCGAAAAACAGACTGCAGACAAGAACGAACAACTCCAAAGGATAAACACAATGGGCTGATACACTTAGAAGAAGTGTTCAGCCGGCAACAGTCCTCGAATAAATGCAAATTACAACAACAAAGAGACGTTATCTTTTGCTTAGCTAATTGGTAGAGATTAAAGACGTGATAATGCCCCAAGATGGTGAGGGTGTGGAAAAAAATATAAAAACAGGCCCTGTCATTCAGTGGAGGAATGTGGATCGGGGTAGCCTTTTCCAGGGGGGCAATTTGGCCGAACAAAACGACTTTCACGGGAACCATTGCTAAGGAAGATTGCACGGCCTTAGACACAGCAATCCCACTCTTCGGAAGATTGCCTTAGGAAACAATTGAGGATAGTAATAATCAGAGCCAACCTTTATTCTGCGCGCTCTGCCTGCCAGGTTTTACATGCGTTATCTCATACACTGCTCACTGCCATCGCACAAGGCAGGAGCCATTCTTTATCTCCTGTGGTTTATGCATGAGAAAAACCGAAGCAGACAAATTAGGTCAACGACCTCAGGACCCAAAGCTAACAAGTAGCCAAACCTAGACTGGAAGTCAGGCAGTATGTGTCCCTGGATGTGGGCCCTCAGGGGTTGATTTGTAGTGGGAACACAGGGAGGGCGCGCTAAGCACCTCCCAACAGCAGTAAGTTACATAAATTAGGATACACCCACACAGGAATATTATGCAAGTGTGAAAAGTGATTCTGTGGAAAAATATTTGTGTGAATGCCAGGGAAATTTTTTGTATGCATGAAAGATCTCTAAAGGATATCAAAGAACTGATAAAATTAGTTACGCCCTGGCTATTCTAAGAAGCTAGAGGGAGATTTGCTTTATAAAATATATACTCTTCTTACATTTGAATCATGTGACGATATTATGTATTAATATATATATATATATACATCTGTGCCCATATACACATGTAAGTTATGACATAGAACTTTATTCTACGGAAGTACTATTGAAAATCCCAAAGAAAAGGTTTGAAAGCCCTTACGTAGTCAGACCAAGGTAAATGAAGGCCCTTCCTGGGCTGCATCCATCCATGTCTCCCCTGAACCAGCTTCATCAGGGAACCCTTTTCTTAGTAATGATGTCTTCATCTCTCCAGACATTGTACTCTCTGTGAGTTAGGATTTGAAAATGCTGTTTTTGATACTGAACACTGGGGTAAAGAAGTCGCATTGTTTTTTTAAATGAAAGAATCGTGTTACTGGTCCCATTTTGTTTAAAAATAGTGTGTGTGTATGTGTGCATGCATGTGCGTGTATGTGATCACGCATGTGTCCACATGCGTGTGTGCATGTGTGTGTGCATGCGAGTGTGCGGATGTATGCATGCATGTGATTTCCAAGTACTGACACAGTGGATGGTTTTGTTTGCTTCTGCCTACTCACTGGGTTTTGTCATTTTCTAAACTGAACAAAATGACTTTCCCAGGTGTCTGTGCTTACACCTCGCCTGACAACACATTTTCAGAGAACGCATTCTTGCACTTTGTGTCTGCTCTTTGCACCTAGCCCTGATTCCCCTCTTACTTGTGAGCAAGCTTGGGGTAAGTTAGGAAGGAAGCTCTGCCTCTAGCAAGGCCTTTCTTTGCAGCCTCTAGTCCACTGTCAGGGCTCTGAGCCACAATAAGAGAGAAGACTGGTGACTGATGGCGTCGAAAGGGCCAGCAGGTCCCCAGACAGTTCCTGGCGCTGGTAGACCCTCTCTTACACTAGTGGGAGAACTCCAACCCAGGTTCTGCATCCCTCAGTGAGAGACAAGGCTCTAAAAGCAGACACCAACCTGCCACCTGCCCTACACCAGGCTTTGGCCTCAGCTCTGTGGTTGTGTGGTCTCGGTTGAGTTTCTGAACCTCTGAGTCAGCTCCACCCACACTGGAGTGTGACACTTGCCACAAAGTTCAGGAATGAGTATACATGGAAAGTCACATGTCCTAGGAAGGGCCATCTCAGTGCAAATTATTATGTGACCCAGCAGGTAGGCCAGCATATCTTCCCCTTCCTGGGAACAAAGTCTCTCTGTCCCTCTCTCTCTCTCTCTCTCTCTCTCTCTCTCTCTGTGTGTGTGTGTGTGTGTGTGTGTGTGTGTGTGTGTTTAAAGGTAGCATGGAGTGACCCACAGAACTGACATATGGGAGTCTAGGGTATGTGGGAACAGCCTGGGGTTTCAGAAACAGGGGAGAAAGCCTGGAGCTTCCTGCCCAGGCCTGGGCCCATGCCCATTGGCATAACTGCCCTGCCTCACCTTTGACAGCCCACTGCTCTGGCTCATGTTCCTTCAACTCAGAGCTACCTCTGCCTGGTTCACCTCCTCATTTCCTTCCACAGCCAACCCTTTCGCTCTTAGCTGCCTGAGACCTGTCCCCAGGGCTAGGATGAGGGCTGCTCCTCTGGGCTCTACCACCCATACTGCAGTGGCAATGCCAGGTCACAGTGTCTGGAAGTGATAGCTAAGTCCACCATCTTGTCTTCCTGTGTTTTCTGGGCCCGGGGTGGGGAAGGGGTGAGGAAGTGGAGAGAGGAGAGACAGGAGTCAGATCTCAGACACTGAGGTCATGATCTGAATTTGAACCTCAGCTCCATTACTGACCCTCAGGGAAGTGACTTCACTCTCCTAAGCCTCAGTTTCCCTGTCTATAAATGGGTTTAAACACTGTGGTGAAGTCATGGGGTTGTGAAGGTTTTACAAGCGAATGTGAAGCTCTTGGTACCCTCCCAAGGCCAGAGAAGTGCCCAGAAGTAGCAGGACCTTGTTCCCACTGAAGACTCTAAATGAGGATGGAGTTGGACTAAAGAAAAATGCCAGGAGGGGTGACTTCTAGTCTCCCCAGTTCCAGCCTCAAGATGGGGACTCTTACTGCTCGTGCCTGGCTCTGTTCCCACCACCCCCACACTAACCTACCTGCCTTGTACCCTGCAGCTACCCGGCCCAAACTGAAGAAGATGAAGAGCCAGACAGGAGAGGTGGGTGAGAAGCAGTCGCTGAAGTGCGAGGCAGCAGCGGGGAACCCCCAGCCCTCCTACCGCTGGTTCAAGGATGGCAAGGAGCTCAACCGGAGTCGTGACATTCGCATCAAGTACGGCAATGGCAGGTGAGCAGTACCTCTGCCCCACCAGCTCCAGAGCCACATCCCCAAGCCCAGCACGGAACCAGTCAGGTCCCGCTCTGTGCAAACCTTCCTTGCCATGCGCACTGCTTCCCTGACTGCTGAGCCCTTGGGACCAGGCCTGCCCTGGCATTGCAGACCGTGGACAAGAAGAATTAGGCAATTCCCAGGGCTAGGGATGTAGCTCAGCGGATAAAGTGCTTGCTTAGCATGCACAAAGCCTTGGGTTCAAACCTAGCACCACATAAAACCAGGCGTGGTGGCACAGGCCTTTGATCCCAGCACTTGGGAGGTGGAGTCAGGAAGATCAGAAGTTCAAGGTCATCTTCGGCTACGTGGCAAGTTGAGACCAGTTTTAGCTAGATGAGACCCTGTCTCACAAAAAAAAAAAAAGTGAAACAATTTATGTGTCTGAAGGTTGGACGTCACTTGACTCTGAGCCGTATTAACAGCAGAAGTCTTGCATGTCAAAAGACCTGGCATCTGTCTGAGAGATCCCAAATCTGGCAATTTGTTGGTGGAAAGTCTTTGGGGAGTCACATAAGACAAAAGACTGGGGTCCTTGGCAAGTTGCCATTTGTGGAGAGCTTAGTAAGTGGGAAGAGACCAATGACTGACATAGGGGGTCTGCCTGCTGTGTGGCACGTGGACTGTCTTTAGTCCTGAATGAATGTGTCAGGACCATGGTGTGCACACTCCGTGAGTCTTCAGGCGGGGAAAGATACTCACCACCATCCAGGCAAGAGGCAGGAGGTGCGGGGAGAACCAGGAGTCTAAGGCAGCTCCTACCTGTCTGCCACTAAACACATTTCTACCCGACCTTTCTCTGTGGGCTCTGGGGTCTAGGTAGACTAAGGAACCCCTCAAGTCTTTTCTGCCCTCACCCCCCAGAGGAGCCTGCAACCACCAGCCCTCCACAAAATACAAACTAGACTGTTTATTGCTTCAGAGAGCATCAGCCTACCCACAACAGAAAGTGTTAGGTACAGGCTCAGGCTGCCCCATCACACCTCGGAGGCCTGCAACCTGAGAGGAGAAGTGGGGTTCGGGAGCTTGGCTTTGCCTCCGTTTTCCTTCCAAGACTCAAACCAAAGGAAAACAGTTACTAGAGACAAAGACAGAAAGTGGCCCAGGCAAAGAGCCATACGGGGCGGGTTTAGATAAGAGGTCTGTGGCTACAAATAGGAAGGCTAACTCCTGAGGGTGTTACGGTAGTTAGAAAGGTGGGGAGCTTTGGGGTAGCTTCCCTCTGTGTCCGTTCTCTATAACACTGGCCAGAAATTCAGCCTAACCAACCAGGTACCCCCACTCCTCCTCACCACCCTGCTATAGTCTTGGTACCAGCCTAGACAAACTAGTAGACAGGACTCACGGAGCTAGGGCTGGAGCAGACACCTCCCCCCAGCTTCTCCCTGAATCTAAGAAGCCCAGGGAAGGTGCTGGCCCTTGTCCTCTTGCACTGCTCCCAACATGGCTCTCATCTGACCACCCCTATCTCACCACACTGCCTCATACCCTGCCTGACGATACACACACACTCATTTGCACACTCATGTACTCACACCACTTCTACGCATGCATACTCATACACTCATACCACATTCACACACACACACACACACACACACACACACACACATACGCGCGCGCTCCACTCTGCTGAGGCACCACCAGTTCCTGCCTTTCTTTGGTCACTTTAGCCTCTCCCCCCTCCTTCCCAGCAGACTGTCCTGCCCATGCCTCTTCCACCTCTTCCAAGCCAGGATCCCTGGCTACTGCCTCCTCCCCACTTCCAGCTATTGCTTGTCTCCCTTGTTCTTTCCACCACTGTGCGAGTCTCCTCAGGTCCCTGTTCCACACCCTTCATCCTCCAGCCACACTGCCTTCCCCAAGGCAGCCAGTTCAGCACATCCCAGCCCCTCCACCCCACTACCTCTGGGCTCCCAAGTCTGGGCCTCCCAGCTGTGCTTGGTACAGTGACACCAGTGGCCTCTCCCTGTGGCTTCTCAGCTGGCCCTCCTGTGAGTCAGACCTTCTCCCTGATTCCACTGGTGCTGCGCTTTCCCACATCTTAGCCTTCACGGCTGTCTCCCTTGGCACCAGTCGGTGATGCCACCCTCTTATGGCTTTGCCCCTCTGAGACCTCAGGCCTCCAGCTCTAGGCATGGTGGCAGATACCTAAGTTCCACATTGTGCTGCCATCTGAGCCCCAAACACCACTCCTAAGGGGTCTCTCACTCAGAATGCTCCCAACCAGCCCCTCCGCCCCAGCCTCACTAAGCCAGCTGCTTGTCCAGCTGCTCCTCTACTGTGCACACCTGGCCTCCCCAACACCCACCCCTTGCCACCTCTGCAGGTGGACCTGACCACCCTGCCCTAAATGTTTCTCATCTTCTCTCCTCCTAGCTTCTCATCCTCTCTTGCCATACTCTCGGACACCTTCCGGGCCCCAGGCCCCTTTGTGAATTAGCTGATGCAGCTAACCTGTGGGTATAGAGTATTGGCTGTGTGTCATACACTCTGCTAGAGGTTTGGGAGACACTGGTGAATAAAACAGCTGTGGCCCCTGCCTTCGTGAGGTGCTGGGCCAATTTCCAGCATAGAATCTGGTATAATGATTAGATAGATGGATGGGTGGATAGATAGATAGATAGATAGATAGATAGATAGATAGATAGATAGATATAAAATATTATATGTGTATTACATATAATTATTATATATATAATAGCCTTTTATTATAAAAAATAATATTTTTCAGAGAAAAAAAGTTGATCAATCTTGCACCCTGTTTTGCTTATGATTCTAGTTCTTGGTTCCCTACAAATGATCCTTTCCGATCCAGACCCCAACGAGATCATCCCTTCCTTATCTGACAGCCTTGGGACCCTTCCTCCTTGCTGGCCTAAACATCACACCACCCTGCCGATCCATCCCAACTAGAGGCCCAATCCCTGATCTTTCCTTTCTGAACCCTGGACTTGGGCCCAGGCTGTCCCCTGTACTAGGAAAGTTGCCCCTCCTGTCCCTGGCACAGCCCTCCAAGGCCCTCCAGCCCTCCAAGGCCCAGCATGAACGCTGTGACTTGGGAATATCTATCTGTCGAGCCCTCCAGTCAGCTCATGTTCTCTGACAGTACTTTAGACCGTTCATCTCACCACTGAGCAATCCATCCCTGCTCCTCACAGGAGCGTCTGCCCCGCATCCCCCTGCTCCCCTCTAAGCCTGGAAGCAGAGATGCACAGTCAGTGTGAGGCTGAGGAGAACCTCCCAGGGCTGGCCCTCCTCTCCTGCATGTGAGGTCGTCCCTCAAGAGGCTGAACAGGGGCCCCTACGGATGGTCCAACCTTCTAAACAACTTACTTCCTGGTAGGGCCTCAGATTCATCTGACACATGGGTGACTTAATCCAGAGACAAGGCCTAGTCAGGTCTTTCCCTAGGTGGCAGACATGGCCCCTCCCACACATGCTGCCTTCTGAAATGTTCATCCCTGGTCCCACCTGTCCTGTTGTTAGCTGTGGAGGAGGAGGCCATGACAGGGAACTTCTGATTATCTGTGACCAAAGTGACTTCAAGAGAACTGCCCACTCCCTCACTGAGCACATCTCAGTAGCAAGGGAGCCAGAACCACACACAGAGCTAGGAGGCTCCTCTCTGAGGGACCTTTCTCTGTCCTTCCTCCCTGAGTTCCTCATGCTCTACCTGCCCAGGCTACATTCAGCATTGGCATCTCTGTTTGCTGGCAGAGACCATCGTCCCAACAGGGGCTGACTGTCTGTCTCTGTGCCCGCCAAACTGCAGTGTCATCCAGGCCTTCCCGAGCCAGGAGAACACTTGCCCCCCGAGCCCAGGGCACGGGCCCTCCCCTGCAGAACCGCCTGTTCCCTTATTTATGAGGGGCAGGCTGGGACAGGCCCCTCAGGCAGGCAGGGGAGGTAGGCATTGAGGAAAGTGTGGGGCTGCCCAGATCCTGTCCTTGCCAGCAGAGAACCGGCTAGGGAGGGTGGGACAGCTCCCTTCGCAGGGGCAGACCTGGGTCAGCAAATTGATGGGGTGGCTGGAGTGTGCACCCTGCCTGCCTTCCAGGAAGGCAAAAAAGAGAGCCCTGAATCCTAGGGCTCGTCCTGCGAATGAGGAGCAACCTCAGGGCCTGAGAGCCCAGGGCCACTCTCAGCGGCAGCTCTGGATCCCGTTTCCCTGAGACCTCTGGGGCCCCCATGGGTCAAGATGCCTATACCTGCTGCACCTGAGAGTTGTCTCCTCTTTTTTGTCCAAAAGGGAAGCCTTTGCCAGGCCCTGATGCCCGCTGATCCTGGTCTCATGCGCCCTTGGGTGGGAGTCCTTCCTCCAAGTCTGTACTGCTGCTTAGATG